CATTGACTTTCAGTTCCTCAAACACAGACACTACGCATTTATATTTGTCTCGAAAAACAATTTCAAGCATTAAAGCGGAAGGCTTTCTAAACCTTTGACTGGTAGATATAAATATATTATAATTACATATCTTTTTTTTCTCTATGATGGCATGTTCTTCAGAATTTTTTTATTTTTTTAAGGGTTAATATGACTTGGTTTGGATTTTGTTTAACATTTCGTCATTGCATAATTCCCACATTTCACAGTTTTGACCACATATATATATACTATACTATGAATATTAATAAAACAGAATAGGTAATAATCAGAATAAGTGTATTGGTAATCAGACCATTGATTGGTAAAATGGGTTCATTAGTGTGTGAGTGATGTATAATGTCAGTAAGATGTGAACTCTATACTGTACTGTGCATATAGAAACATGCATATCTGGCAATAATTTATGTAACATATACAGGATTACACTGAGCACTGCGACCCCTAGTGGCACTACTGTTGTGTTGTCTTCCTGTACTTATGACGCTTCGCGGTTTATCCACTGTGACGTTGAAAATAGGAAAAAGATTCATCATTATGCGAAAACAATTTAAAAAAAAATGCAAAAGTAGATCAGAATTGTTCAAAGCTTAAAATGTAGCATTTCAGCTCTTATAGGATACGTTATACGATATAGAAATTATAGTAATTCATCACGTTAATGTGTAAGCTGTAGTTAATCAGTTTATTTCGTTCACCAGTCCTGTGCCATCATATTTACGGATTTATTATCTTTAAGAATCCATACCTGTGCTCTTTATCTTTCCATAGATTATTACTAATGATACAGGAGGGGGATAATACACACTATTAAATTTATTAAATATATAAATACAACTGCAACTATTAAAAATAGCCTGAAAAATAGCATGAAATTTAATTCATGAACAATGAAATTATAAAAGCAACATGCCGTTTGCTATATATATATATATATATATATATATATATATATATATATATATATATATATTTATACATCTACGTACCATAGTAGAAAAAAGAAATTACAAATTAGATGTACAATATACAACGTACTAAGTAAAATGTCCATATTTTTTACATGTAATAATATTTTAAAATCATTCAATTTGTGCATTGTAATAAATATATATTTAAATGACAAGTATATATATATATATATATATATATATATATATATATGTATATATATAATTATTATATGATTTATATGAGATATATATATCACTCGCGTAGCTACGGGTGGGCCTGGATGGGCCTGGGCCCACCCACCTGTCAGTCAGGCCCATCCAGTCAGTGGCCTTACAATGTAGCTGAAGCAGGGAATTCTGTTGCGATTGTCACAATACTTGACTAAAAATACAAATAATAAAAATAATTATAATAATAAAATAAATCTTAATTTTTCTTGATTCTTGTTTGGTTGTCATGGTGATGACGAAATGCCCGCGCAGTCAGATTGCGAACAGCCCATCCCCCCTTCACAACGACGTACACATTTCACAGAGGGAGACTGAAGTTTAGCTAAGAAGAAGTAACGTTATGTTAAACTAAAATGAAACAGAGCAACTTACTAAAGTTTGTGTCAAAAAGACCACGGCCGCTGCAGGAGGAAAATAATGCAGATGTTCAGGAGCCTCACAGCCATCAGTCTCGAGTAGTAAGGAGCTGCTCTGCTGAAAGTTCGTGTCTATGGCACGAATGTCATTTCTCGTGGCATTTATACGCCAAAAACAGTTTTTGCGTGTATTTGGCACGCGATTTTCGCGTACATATGATACGCACTTTTTGCGTATAATACGCACGAACTGCCCACCCCCCTCCCCCCTAAACCTAACCCAGGGTTTTTTAGTGCGTACCATATAAACGAAAAAAACACTTTTGGCGTATAAATGCCACGAGAAATGACACTCGTGGTATAGATACGCATCTTCATGAGACTGTGTTGGTTAATTCAGCAATCTCTCCCTCACCAGCAGCGCTCCATTCTACCTCACCTACACGCCAGTGTACAGGTACACGGCCGCATTAACCATAGGGCTAGGCGGGGCTTAAGCCCCGGGGCCCAAGCAAGGAGGGGGCCCGTGATTGGCTGTAGAGCAGATACTGCAAGCCATCTGATTACCAAAGCCTTACCACGCAACGTCCCCCACAAATTATCCCTGTTATTTAGTGCCACTTTGCCTTATATTCCATGCATTATCATGGAATCATTATCATTAATAGAGACGTTCGCAAAGACCCGCCTTTTTTAGGTACTATGTGACGGGCCACGTCACGAGCCAGGCGGCTCTCACGAGTCACGCACATCATGTTCTCAAGCACTCACGCAGTGAAAAATACTTCGCGGGGCAAAGACTAACGTTACACCGAGTGATTACGAGAGAGAGTTCAGAGGAGCTTACTGTTGATATGAAACAAAGTCTCAACTTTCAAATATTGTCATTTAAGTAATTTAAACATTACCGTTTTCAAGTTCATGTCCACCGACTGACAGCTTTGTTGTCGGACAAAGTTGCGTATTCGGCGTTATGATTGGCCAGGCCACCTGTCAATCAAACCCCCGTAGGCATGCAGGGCCAACGGCTCTGAGCAGGGCATGGTAAATTGAAACGTCAGGTTTTAATTTGATATGACAAATACATTTATTCTATATTTAACTTGTGAACGACCGACCTGCTGCTGCACGTAGGCCTATAGATGATTGCTGCCTGCGCTTTATTAGAATAGGCTATACATCAACCAATAAATCGCCTTTACTTCTCTTCATTCTAATCTAGTCTATTCTTAAAACACAGCGTCATCATCGACCCCACAAACTTTCGGTAAGTTTGAATATTAACTTGATGGATGTATAATTTTGCTTTTAGTGTTTGATTAAACATATATTCGCCTAAAGGACTGGCGATAATATATCCGGTAGAAATATTTAAATTTTGCTGCGCCATCATGATGTAAGTTTATCATTTAAACTCGTTTTTAAACGTTGTGGTTTGGATACAAATTATTTCAAACTGCTCAGCCACAGTGAGCAGCGGGATAATTAATTTTGTAAATGCTGGTTTTGAGACCAAGGTGAACCATAGACTGTGGTGAACTTGAGACGGTTTTGCACAGCGCACTTGAATCCGACTCTGAGGTCTCAAAGTGACAGACGCTGCTAATAAAGCTGCTGTCGCCATGTGTGTCAATAATGTTAATCAAACATCAGAAAGAAAGTAATTTACTGCATTTGACTGAATTACTTTTGCAAAATTAACAAGAATGAATGTTGAATTTATAGTGAAAACCATGTATTGTATATTTGATTACTTTATATAATATAATATTATTCAGTGCTTTAAGTTTTTCATAGGTCTATTTATTGTGCCTTTGTTCTATTTTAATTTGTGACTCGTCATCAGTAAGCTTGAGATTATTTTCTTAAGCTACTTTGGTGATATTGAAATTGGTCACAATAATTATGAAATTTTAGTGGCAATACATTTTGATATGATAAAAAAATTGTGTTAAAAGTAACATAACTTAACTGTGACGTATATCATAGATGGATAAAATGACTCATATAATAATATAACATTTAGCTCATGTAGTTGGTGACCTAAAGTGGTGGGGGGCCCTGCAGTAACTCATAGCCCCGGGGCCCAGTGAGCTCTTAATACGGCCCTGTACAGGTACATACAGCCATGTCTTAGGATAAGTAATAGGCCTATATACAAATGTGCAATAATTAACACGAATGAATCATGATTTACTATATCAGCGTTATGTACGTTCATTTTTTCAGACTCGGCTAAGCCTAGGGCCAGCACTGTCCTGTTATAAGCTAGTCATCACAAGTAATCTACGTATAGTTGCCGAGTTAATGTTGTTTATTTAACGTGGTTTATGTGGCCGCTGAGCCAGACTATGACCAAGCATTGTTTTTACACACTGTCCTGCTGATTTTATGATGGTGTTGTTTTGCATCTGTCAGATGCGCACGTGTGTGTAGTGTGGGTCGCGCGCAGTGAAACTGCTGTTCTTATCGTTATGTTCTTAATACTGCTTATGATGATGACATACATGCTTGTGCTCTGATTAAACTGTGGTGTATTCAAGAAGGTTTAGTTATGTTGGCCTATTTTGATCACAGATGCATTTAGGCTGTGCCCACCTGATTTTCTCTGGGCCCACCTACATTATGATTCCTGGCTACGCTAGTGATATATATATATATATATATATATATATATATATATATATATATATATATATATATATATATATATATTACATAATATATAAATATATTCAATATTATTATTAAATTGATTAATTATATATATATATATATATATATATATACACACACACACAAAAGCGCATATTATATAAGCATATTGTTATGTTGAATAAACATTTAACATTGATATTTAATATAATGAATTTAATTTAATTTATTATAAATAATATATTTTATAATAACATTGTCAGCCTTGTCTTTTTCTTTTTCTTTTTTAGCGCCCCCTGTAGAGTCCAGTTTAAAAATCCCTGGCAACACAGTGACAGAAGGCAACCTTCCGAGCAATTCCTGAATTGAAAGGATCCATGTTAAAAGTTAGACAGCAATCGATTTACGCACTCTGATTGGGCACTGTAGCGATGAATGGAGAGTGTCGTCACGGTCGTTCTAAAACCCGATTGGCCGCCCCGTCACGTCAATCACGCCAGCACACGCCCTTTCATAATGCAGCATGGGGGAGAGAACCTAACAAAATGAAGGCTTCGTAGCGGAATACAGTCTAAACATCAAAAAAGATCAAACGATTCGCGATCGTTCACGGATGGGTACGTATCTAATGTTATTCGCATGCGTTTGGAGACAAATGATATACCAATGACTGTTGGTTCCTGAGAAAACGCCTATGTGAGGGTTAGTATCAGCACATTGCAGCAGTTTGAACGCCACGTTCGCTTTGTGAGGCGGCTCGGTTCAG